TGTACAAACTTCTTTGCATGGTCAATATTCATACTTTTTTTTTTTAACATTATGTTTATTGGGTTTTTCCAACATTCAAGATACAGAATCTAAATATATAATTCCCATACACTGCCCTAAAACATACCCCAGACCTCCAACCCATAGTGCCACAAATAAACCGTAAATGAGCTTTTAAAGGAGTGCAGTCTAACTGGGGTATAATAAACTCTTATGTATCACATTAAATTGGATGAGTTTATGACAGCTATTGATAGAGAGAGTCTGAGCATCCTCACATATTGTTTCCCATTCATCATCAGTGAACGAGTACTCCAAGTCTTTTTCCCACTTAGATTTGATGTCACAGATATTACCAGCCATCAAATGCAACAACTTGCCATAGATAAATTAAATGAGACACTTAGGACCTTTTTTCTCAGACAAGATAGCCTCAAGAGGTGAAAGAGGGAGCGTAGATAAACGGCCACCTTGCTGGGTCTGAATGTAGTGTCTAACTTGTAGGTATTTAAAGAAAAATTTAGAGGGAAGGATACATTTCTGTTGTCAATATTGATAAATTATGACCAGTACCAATTTGTTTCCGCTGTTATCCCTTAATTGGCACGTTTTCAACAGTCCCATTACACACATTACACAGCTCTGATTTTATGATGCTGAGTTAAAACAATTTCTATAAAACTTTCCTTCACACATTTTTTTTTTATTAAAGGGGTCATATGATGCTTTTTTAAAGATCGTTATTTTGTGTATTTGGTGTAACAGAATATCAGTATTTGACAAATAAATCTTGACGTCTTTACAAACGAAATGCAATTTTTTCCAAAGGTATATAAGATGATACTTCTTTAATCCACATAGAGGTAGAAGGTGGTTTAGAATCCTTCCATCTCAGAGTTATATATTTTATGGCCACTAGGAGGGCTAGCCTTACAAATCTCGAACCCTTTGTTGATCAAGTAGTGTGGTGTCCCCTAAAAGAGTAAGTCTAGGCCAGGGCTGTCCAAACTCGGTCCTGGAGGGCCGGTGTCCTGCAGAGTTTAGCTCCAACCCTAATAAAACTTGAAATCGCATCATATGACCCCTTTAAATATATGTAACAGCTTCAGTGCACTTATCAAAATAACAAAAGCAAACCTCAAAACCGTCAATGACAAAAAAGTAAATGTAGCAATTTGTATCATTGTAAAAATGTATCAGTTATATCAATGTAAAAAAAAAACTGTATCTGTACAATCTGTACAGGAGAGAAAAAATATGTTTAAATACTTGATTTAATGACAAAGAACTTTAAACATACATTTATAAATAAGCTTTTGTTCACTTTTTTCTGTCTCAGTTTGGATGTAGTAAAACACATACAGATGTAGCACAAAACATGTTTGCATTTCTTCTGTCACTGACCATGATTCTGGCTAGGATTGGGCATGAAATACTGTGATGCATGTGAAAATGCGCTGAGAATTGAACAAATAGTTGTAATGTGGCTCAAAGGAAGATAGGAATCATGTCTTTGTGGTGTTTTTCTGCTGATTAAGACTTCTTCACTTTACAGATGTTTGCCAAACACACACACACACACACACAAATGCTATGAAATGCATATCATGTTTTATGAGAAAGCATGAAACAGGCACAATTTTTGGAATTGGCAACAAAAATTTGTAAGATACAAGTACTGGATTTCATTCAAAAAATACGATGCAGAAAGGAAGCTATGCTGATTCCGACTCTCCAAATCTGATTTGACCTTTGACCTTATTATGCACTGCTCCCATATCTTTCTGTGTCAGGCTGAATGATGCGCCGGTGAGAGGCTATGAGGAGGATGTGGGTAACAAGACCACGTTACGTCTGTTTTATCCCGAATCTGCCTCCTATAACCCGGGTATCCACAATGACCCAGACACCCTGCTGGCTCTGGTTCCTTTCAAGCAGCAGGACCTCTGCTGGCTCAAAGAGATCCTGTATGATGAGAAGAGGGTCAGTCTGTCTCACTTTTTTTCCTCATGTGCCAGCATGCACCTGGTTTCCCAGTAATCATGAGGCGCTGTGCTCGATTTAGGTCCGAAAGGGTTTCTGGAAGCCTCCTCCCCAGATCTGGCTCGGCCGGGCCAGTCAGATCCGTGTTCTGGACCCATATTTCCTTCGCCTGACAGCCAGCAAGCTGCTTCAAATTCCCCTGCAACCGCACAGACAACAGGTGAGATCTGCACACACGGCCAGGACTGAGGGAACGATAAACACTCTTATTGCCATGGAAACGCTCTTACTTTGGCAGAACAGATGTTCCAAATAATAGGATTACTTTTGGTGTCATTTCAGACATGCATATGTAGTGCCATTTACATATTTGATAGTAATGAAATGTTTGTATTGAGACTTTGTTCCAAAACCTGATGGGTTGCTGCATTTTAATGCATCATATATGGATTCTTGACATGAAAATTAAGTGCATTTTAAGGCATCCAAAAATAAAAAAAATAATTAAAATAAATAAATTGTTTTAAGTATAAATGTGTTTATATATATATTATATTATTTATTATTATTTTCTAAAATATTTATTAATAAAGAAAACATAATTCCATTGAATTAACAATCATTTTATCCAATATATTTTAAACTTAAAATCAGAACTGAGTCTCCTGTGCTTTGTGGGAGGAACACTGTATTTGCATTATGAACAGACACACAAAGAAGTTTCTGATTGCAAATCTTCCAGGTGACACTGGAAGACAATACATTTTTAGCAGACAGATTTCATGCAAATGTTTTGGGGTCTGAAGCTTTTTAATCTTTTTGAAAGAAGTCTCATTTATTTGATCAAAATTACAGTAAAAACGGTAATATTGTGCAATATTATTATAATTGTAAATAGCTGTTTTCTATGTGAATATCTGTTAAACTGTAATTTATTTCTGTGATGCGCAGCTGAATTTTCAGCATCATTACTCCAGTCTTTATCGTCACATGATCTTCAGAAATCATTATAATATGCTGATTTGCTGCTCAAGAAACATTTCTGATTATTATCCATGTT